GCATTTATATTTGGGCATGAAATTTGTTTTGGTTGTAACTGATGTAAACTGATGATTTTCAGACCAGCATTGCACTGAAGTTCCCTAGATTGTTTCCAGGTTGTTAATGCCTCATGAAGGGCATGTTTGTTTTTGGTTTTTTGTTTTTTACTAAAGATGTAAAAAAAGAAAAAAACAAAACAAAAAAAAATCAAACTATGCAGGTAAGAGTGCAAAAGGCAAACTAGAGGATTCCTCTGCATTGAGTTAAATGTTGTGTGTGTGTGTGTGTGTCCATTTATAAAGAAAAAAAAAATGAAACATTTCCCTCTGCCACATTTTTAGAGGATTGGACTGGAAAAACTGGCATTTAGGTGCTGTTACTGGTTAAAGCAGCAAAACTGACTACAGAGCAACAATCAGAACTTATCATTATATTGTACTTCCACATTAAAAACAAAAACTCATATGCTAATCTTCTTGTTAGCCATCATCATAAGCTAAAAGTGGTCTTTGGGGGGGGGGGGTTTCCAAAGGCTTGTCCACAGCTAAATAGGTGAGCAGCTAGTTGCATTTCAAAGTGCAACCATCTCATTTTGCAGCTGACACATACTGACTTTAAAACTTTATCTACATTTACTAAACAATCAATAGAAGGCAACTGATTGTAACACAGCCAGCAGGAAATGCATATCAGACAAGTGAAACAATTACTTTGCTGAGGTGTTAGTGTGGCTTCCCTGTAGTCCAGCCAGACACTAAACTTGTATGAATGTGTTTGAGTCTCTCTGTTCTGCCTCACTAACTGGGGCAGTGGATTAAAGAATGGGAAAGTGAAGGTGAACATATGAAGGCTTAAAAGTCCACTAAACCTGAGTTTATCAGTAGTGAGGGTACAAAATCTGGTGCACTGGACCAGATGCACAGTAGGGTACATTCCTACCATCTGATCCTGAGAACGATGGACGAGGACAGAGAGAGAGAGAGAGAGGGAGAGTGTATGAATTAATCCCAATGCTGTTGGCAGTAATATGTACTGTGTGGGTGTGATGGGGTGTAAGGGGAATCTGATGGCACTGCCACAAGGGTCAGGATCTGAGCCGGTGAGAGATGCCATCAAAATAAGCGTCTGTTACACCTCATCAACGAACAGTCAAAATAGCTACCGTGGGAAGCATACAGTAACAGCACGCACTCATGCCAAAACACAGGTACATTCACATCTTCTGCTGCTTTGCATAGCGACAAGTGCTGACTAAAACTTTCCTAATATGCTTCAGAATTGCTTTTTCAACAAAGAATTCCTTGTGTTAAAGTGTTCTGCTTTATCACAGAGACGGGGAATGAAGCAGGGATGTAAAAAACAGGCATTTTGTATGACTCAGGCCAATAGGATGCCATGCAGTTGCTTTTACTTCATGTGCGAAGTAAAAGCAGAAAATGCCCTTTAGAATTTGATTTTAATTCCCTCAGCATTTCTAATATAAAAATGTGGTCATAACCTGATTAAATTTTCAAAACAAAGCAAATTGTAGTTTCAAAGACAAAAAGCAGTGAAATACAATCGTTCAGAACAGGTTCTATGAACACACACCGGAGGAAAAATAAAGGTAATCAGGGCAGAAAGACAAAGGAGGAGCGATAGTTAATCCTTAGGGTAAATATTTAACAAGCTCAGCAATTATAGCGAGGGCAGAGGCCTAACATGGAAAAGAAGGGAATTACGGCCTGCTAGCGGCGGTCCACACACACACACACACACACACACACACGCACACACACACACACACACAGACAAACTCACTTGGGCATCTGCCTAAAAAAGATTAACAGCATACAGAGTTTGACCTAAAATTATAATTAACCAAAAAACAGGGGACAATGATTTTCATGCAGCCTGTAGGCAATGAAATGATGATTTTGATTTTTGTATTATTGTCATTATTTTTTGACAGGGTGGTTCCCTCTGGCTTGGCATGCTTTCCCTGTGCATTGGCAAAATTAAACATGATTACTTACATTTCCATTTTGTCCTCTCAGCTAGATATAACTGTGGCAGCAGAACCACTAAAAAAAAAAGAAGAAAACCTAAGTGGTGAATATGTCTACTATTAAGTTTTAAGTCTAATTACTAATGTGCATACATGTAAAAGATTTTCTATGCTGTTCATACAGTCTAAAATATGCATTTCAAAATAAAAGCCTCTTCTATTGGTTATATGCAAGAATGTTTAGTAGTGGTGGAACATAACTGAACACATTTACTCAAGTACTGTACTTAAGTACAATTCTGAGGAATCTGTACTTTACTTGAGTGTTTTCATTTTGGGCTAATACTTTAACTTCATTACATTTTACAGGAAAATATTATACTTTTTACTCCACTACATTTATTTTAAAGCTTTAGTTACTAGTTACTTTTCTGAACCAGTATAATCATTCACAAGCTACCCAGCAGTTTGTTAAGTACTTCAAATTATGTGAAATCTATGTGAAATAGTGAAATCTAGCTCCCCCTTTACCAGCGGCAACATTAAGTGTGATATATTAAGTAAGAGATCTGAGTATTTCTTCCACCACTGTGTTTAGTTTAGCTTTATAATTATTTATGCACCCAGAGAAATTCTTCTTAGCCTGGAATCTGAATTTTCTCATTTCAAAACACATTTCCATGTGAGACCTCCTTGTAGAAAAATATTGTACACCAGTGATTATTTATTCCCTTTAGGCAGATGAAACAACATTCTATAAAAAGAAAAACTAAATTTCATCAACAGTGACATGTGACTACATCATGGTATCATTATAGGTCATCTGTATCATTGCACCCTGTAAACATACTGCACTTGATATCGTTGTGTATTGCACATACACACATGTAAGAATGTACACATATAACCTAAGGGCAGATTTGCATATGATGCATAGGTACACAGAGTCCACTGTGCTCCACCCCTAAGCAGTCATGCAACACAGACAAAGCAATATCTCATGTGCCTCCACAGCCACCTGCTACATGTTCTCTGAACTCTTCTAACACAGTGTGCATGAGATACCTATAACTGCCTTCATTGTAGTGAATTAAGTTAGTAAATTTATGTTTTAAATAGACAAAACTAATTACACAACCCAAAGCAAATCCACAACTAACTGAAGCAGACACGAGTCTTGACTCAGTAGCAACTTCACACAGTCCCTCTCGTGGACAGAAAAATAACTGCACCAACATAAAGGCAAATGAACCTTAAAGCTGCATGTTTCCTGGTTTCATAGCAGTTTTCTGTGGATGACTCACTGTTCAAGAAAAAAAGAAAAGAAAAAAGAGACAATTATGACTGTTGTTGCAAACCACAGAAAGGATGTGGACGTGTCCTTGTTACTCATCTTGCATTTATCTGGAAAAGGCTCTGGTTGTGCCCCATGTTTAAATATCAGTGGAAAAAGTGCAGCCTTGAGAGTCAAATGTGTTGACCTCAGAGTGGGATGACAGAGACTGCAGATGTATACAGCCAAAATCCCTCATGTTCCACTCAAATTAATCTCATTAGTGTAGCACCAAAAGAGCTCCAAGCTGGTCACTGCTGCCACTGATAACAAGGCCTCCAGCAGAGGTGGAGCAAACAAATACAGGCTTTAGCATGAACGCATGTAGAAAGAAGTCAGAATGGAAGATCCTAAAATGTTTCCAAATAGGCTAAAGCACCTCATTACTCTTGATTTGATTTTTATAAATGACTGTAAGAGACAAACAACTAATATCACCTCTCCCTTTCAGATTTTTAGCAGTTTCTCACACGACTGAACCTTCTTTATTTACAGTACCAACACATCCCTCGTCACTGAGGCGCCAGTGGCATGTGAGCCATCACCTGGGATAGGCCAGCTAGCTCCAGTACTGCAAGTGTGTGTGGTGGCTAAGCTGAATGAAAATTTGGGATAAAATACGTATCTGCATGTGTGCAAAGCTGTATGACTCAGGCCAATAGGATGCCATGCAGTTGTTTGGTGCAATGCCAAACCACAGCAGCGGATGATACTATGAAGACCAGAAGAGAAGAAGGTGAAAGAAGAGAGCCACATGTGTGGAAGAGAAAATGGCTGCAAAAACAGCTTGTCAGACAAATCCCTTTGTCCACTTCCTTGAGAAAACTGCTTTTGATGAGGACGTTCTTTCAACCCCGAGGACTAAAAAGCCAATGAGACAGTAGGAACATGCTCTTGTTTTTAAACTATAAAAGTACCTCAAGTGTCTGGAGCTGTCAGATCCAGGCCTCTGAGTTGATGCATTAGCCACCAAAACCACCATTAACAGAATATTTTCAGAAGTGATCTATAAATATTTGAAGCTGACTGCGGTGCAGTAGGTGGAGAGGAAGGGAGGCATTCAGTGGATGTTTGAACGGGTGTGAAAACAAATGTGGGCCTCAAATTTCTTTTAGTCATCTGTGACTTAAGGACACAAAGGAATAATAGAAATTTGTGTGAATAGATAAAATAATACCTCATATCTATAGAGATGGTCTCACAGATCCAAGAAGAAATCAAACAGCACAAGGGTTTGACTAATGCAGTTTGGCGGTGAACAAGATTTTTAGAGCTTCTAACAACCAATATTTTGAAACTATATTTACAGTAACATTTGTCTTGTTAGTGGCTGTTTCCATACAAAAATATTCTAAACTGTAGGGTTTCCATTCTACTAAAATCAGGAAAAAACTACTCTGAAACCTATTACTACTGCAAATACCCATTACGGCCAATACTAATAATATAGATAACAAACATGCTTATGTAAAATCTTGTCAGTGTGTTTCCTTAAAATCAATTTACATTAATTAAGTTGCCTCCATATAGAACCAGCAGATTTACTGCATCATATCCATGTATCAGAGGGGGTCAGTGCTGCCTTCAAAGACAGTTTACCGCAGCTGATATCCCATTACTAACCACATATATCACTCTAACCCATATCAACCCAGCAAATCTCTCACGCCCCCATCACTGCAAATGTCATTCCTTACCTTGGAAGAAACTTTTGACGCGGAGGTAGGAAACTGCGAGGCGCAGCACGGACAGCTTGTCCAGCTCCCGGGGGGAACGGCAGCAGACTGGCCAGCCGGTCCAGCTCAGCATTCAGCCTGTCCCGGTGCCGCTTTGACGGGTTGGTCTTCTCACTGGCAGAGGACGGCTTCCTGACCAGGAGACAGCCGGTAGAAAAAAATGTGTGACAATCAATAGGCATGTGTTAAATAAGCTGTAAAATATAAACTTCTTTAACAGAATGGCCCCAAGTGATTTTTTCACTGACTACAGCGACCACCTCAACGAACAGAGAGAGACAGCAGCACGCCAAAAAGGATGAACTTATTTAGCTTCTCTTGTTAAAGCCTTCTGGCAAAGTTTGTTTAAATCTGATTCACATTACATGACACAGGCATTTTCATAAAGCTCACATGGCCAGCTTGCCAAGCACAGATGGTTGAAAAGACAATTAAATATTAGCAGAATATGTTTTGGAAAATCTAAGAGCCAAAGTGTAACTGTCTTGCCATAAAAAAAACCTCCAAACACACGCATACCACTTCGGTTTGCAAAGAAAAAGTTACTGTTTACTGTGTGACTATTTGACAAAAAAAAAAAAACAAAAAAAAACGGCACCAATTCTAGCAACAGGAAGAATTTGTCTGAATTAATTTTTTAGAAATGACTTCCACATGTATTTGTGTCAGTTTTGCTTGTAGCTGTTCCTCATTGTTAGGATACAAAGTATAAACAGAATCTTGTTGTGTCTGACTCTGGTTAAGTGTGGTAACCACTGCACCTTACCAACCCAAGCAGAGACACATGACTAATAAACCACAATCTGCATAAACCTCTTTCTTTAAACTGCATTCACTTTTGACTCTGCCTTCCCCCAAAAAAAACTATGATTCATGTTGCCTCCAATGATAAGTTTCTTCCCAGCACAAAGAGCTAAAGATCTAAAAGTTTTGTCATGTCACGTTTCAGTCCACACAAACTATATTTCCAGGAAGACATGCATAGAATAGAATAGAATAGAATAGAATAGAATGCCTTTATTGTCATTGCATGTAACTTATAACAAAATTTGGTGTCTCTTCATAAACAAAAACTGTACACCATTCACTCCTCCGTTCACACCCACAAACACACACACCTACCTATAAAATAGCATATTAAAATAAATATGTAAAAATATATTTAAAATTTCCTAAATCAGATTTTGAAGTGTCTCGTGTGTTGTTGTCATCTTGTTTTTAAGTAAAACATCTGTATCCACCACGGCTGTTTCTTCTTCACCTCTCGATTTTAAAGGCACGGCATATCACTAGCTCAGTGCTGAAGAGAATATGAAATGCCTGTTAATAAACGTAAGAGTTATTTGTGTATTTGTGTATGGTGACCCAGAGGTTTACCCACTGAACATGATCTGTATGTGTAATGGTCAGCTCCAATTTCCACAGCTGAAGGTTGCAGTTCATCTCCTCAGAAAGAGAGATTACTTTAACATGAATACTTTGACTTTGTTTTATTACAATGACCTAATTAAATAACATTTCGCACTTATTACTGTTGAAAAATATATTGAGCAATGCATATGACTTCCAGGATATAATCGGATTATGGATAAATGGAGGTACTGAATCATAATTCAGAAACTTAAAATGCCATGTGGCACAGCTGGAAAACCAGAACAATCCAATATCAATTTGATGTGACAATGGTTTTACCAGTAAAGGCAGTGCAAAATGTGAAAATACTATAAATGCCACAGGATCTTGTTGAGTTACCACTTCTCTCTTTGAAATCTTATATAACTTGCAATTCACTATTCATACACCAGCTGGCAAATTTTTTCCAGTTTGTCAACTTGTTGACTTTACATTTAACTACATACATATACTGTATATGACAAACAAAACTACACTAAAAGTTAATCCACTGCCAATATAAACTTACTTTACCCATCATTCATCCCCATTTCATGCTATTTGGATACAGATCTTTAAAATCTGTAATATATTAAGCAATAAAATGATTGCCATTAAATAATTTTATAATAAATACTATAACAATAATAGTAATTTTGCAACATAAAATGTTATAGCTATTATATGATCATAACATGTCATTTGATGCTACATTTCTAATAAAAATGGCAGTCACTACCAACTGGAGCTGGGTTTCACACATTTAAGTTGTAACTTCCTGTGACTCATTACAATTGAGCTTCTTTTAAATGTCTACCACATGATAAGGTTGAGATTGAAGTTCTCTGTGCAACAACAAAAGTGCCATCATTAACCACAAACAATTGTTCTCACACATGTGCATATTAAACAGCCCCTCTTAACTGTTTTTGGATGGGCTTCCTCCTCTTCCTACCCGCATACATGCAGTCTCCAGGAGGGATCATGATCCTGCGCTCTGTGGATGTAACAGGTGCGCTGCGGATGAGGTAAAGGAACATTAAAACACGTTCACACACCTTGTTGCACATTACCTCAATAGAAGTCTCTCACTGGGCTTTAATATATGCAGCGAATCCCTGCAAGTAAAACATCCCTAATTCATTTAGTTCTATTTTCAACAGTTATGTATAGATTAGCAAGTGATTTATGGCTTAAAAGCCTGCAAGCAACTGTCTGTTGCAAAATAAAATAACAAAGAGGTTCTAATTAAATATCTATAAAAGTGAAGATCCCATAACATAATATTGCTGTTAAAGTAATACCCCCAAAAATCAATAAAAACAAAGGCACTAACCAGTTACCAAGATCTCTGTAGATATCAGTTGATTCCAGTATAATGTTGGCTGCTGAGCCACATTCACTTTAAGGTCAGAGAGGAGATGCGTCTCCCGGGATCCACCGACTCGGTAGCTAATGCCAAGCAATAAATCCGAGGAAAATAAAATATATCGGAGAGGTCCCGTCCGAGCTCCGAGCTGATGTTTTCATCAGCTTTGTACTGCTAGGAGCAGATGTTGGCTGATGCTTTATACCCAATAGAGTCGCCTTCACTTCCTCGCGTTTCAGGTGGCGGATTCCTCTGAATGACATGTCGAGCTCTTCGCACGCAACTCTCTGCCACACAAACAGACATGCATACATACACACACACACACACACACACACACACATACACGTGAGGTTTTTGCTGCCTTTAAGTGTTGTCTGCAAATTGAAATTACATTTAACTTAGCTTGTATATAAATACATATTTTATATATATTTTATAATAGGCTAATAGAAACATGTTGGCCTAAGATTTTATCGGCGAGGATAGTCTATGTTTATTACTGTGTTCAAATTATCTCTTCATTCTTGGCTATAATTTTCTTACTAAATAAATCACACTATTACGCTTGGACTATCCATAAAGCAAACTGAGTAGACGACATGTATTTTCCGACTGAACTACTTTTATATTAAAACATTTATTTACGAGGAGTACTTGAAGTAGCAGACTGCCAGACCAGAGCCTCCGGTCGCGCGCACATGTTCCGGGTAGCAGGAGAGGAGGGATCACACGCGAGGGCAGCAGAGGCACAAATCTCCAGATTCACACTGAGGCGATCCGTGGACGACAACAGTCACGCAGTGCAGGGTTTAGCTGCAGGCGCTCGTTAAAAGGGAAATGCGTTTTATAGCGAAACCTGCTGTGTTCGAAATAAAGCTGCTCTGGACCGGACGTAGCTACTTATAAACGTATACGTGAATTCAGTGTAGCTTTAAGAAAGAGCCAGCATTCGTGGGCAGCTGCGCCACGTTCGGCACAGATACCAGGTTTACGATGGACTTAGGTGAAGATTATGACTTCAAAACAAGAGTATGAACATGCTGTGGGGCCTCTGGTGTTCTGGGTTTAATTTCTCTGGATTAAAATGTGATACCGCTGTGAGTGTAACACGTCGATGTGGCGCAACCTGTTTACGATAGTTGAATGTACAGCTGTGCGGTTTTATTTTGAATGTCATAACCGGAGGTGTGCTGATAACCCCTCTGACATAATGGAGCTAGGTTTCGGTTCGGTTTTAACTTTGGGGTATTGTTTTAATTACTTGTTGATTAATTAAGCGGTAAGACGCATTTGGCGACACTTCTGTAAAACCAAGGCATCGTGTAGACTTCATTTGGTGTATGCTCAGTTTGCGCCCCTCGCGTGTTGGCATGGTTCGCATACATTTAGGTAAGTAACCATGTCATGTACAGGTCGGCACAAGTGACAAGCGCAGTTTCATGGGCCGAGCTGAGCTAAAACCACGTCCCTCCGCTACAAACTGGTTTTACGGGGAAGCTCCACTTGTAGTCATCGTCTCCGCCGCTCCTCGCTCGTTGCAATGGGTGTGCCAACACTGACAAGGCGATGAGTAACATTTGTCAGCAGACTGTGTCTAAATAAACAACCTGCACTCTCTCACACAATTTACCTGATGTTGTGAGAAACAGCCCTTACTTTCTGTTTACCTGTGAAGTCAGGTCATTTGTGACACTTTTTGATTACCAAGAAACCCACATAAAATTCTGAAAACTGCCTCGTTGTGCATCTCTGCTATATGTCTGTAATGAAAATATGTTACCAAGTAAAATACTTGAACTTTGGACCTTCAACCAGTACCTCTACCTCATTTAGATGACATGTTTAGGTAAAATGGGACAGCTGGTAATGGTTTAAAAAACACTAAATGATTCATCTTAACTGACGCACGTTTGTATTGCATGATTGTTTTGCAATCATTAAAATAGTTCACTTAAACCTAAATAAGGACATGAGCAGATTTCAACAATAATGGCCTAAATCTATACACATATCTGACATCATCTAGGATCCCACCGTCTTCACCACAGCTCCTGGGGAACCATGTCCCACATTCTGCACAGGCAATCCAGGCCTCTGTGGTTTGGGGTCACTTTGTCTCTGTAAGATATTTAGCAGGATCCAGAGGGATGATAATTAGTTTGTTTTCTAGTAAATATCTTTTTGTCTTTTATCTTTTGGCTTTTTGCTAGATTATTTTCTGAGTTTTCTTTAAATATATGTAACTAATGTGTTCTTTTATGACTGACATGTAATCATTGCATCTTCTTTAATATTTTTAAATGATCAAAATACTACAAATGTTTGTAATGTGAGAGTTTGGTACATGATAGCAGAGTAACTTGTAATTTTATGGCACTAGTAGTCTAGAAATGTGATTTTACTTTAGAAAACTCCCATTTTAGCTGATTTTTATGTCCCAGTTTAGCTGATGCCTGGGACACTCACTCCAAACCCTTTCCCATAAAAAGTAAAATGTATTGTTATATTTTGTCAAACAATTAATACATTGCAACATCCTGCAACTATTTCTGGTGCTATACTCCTATTGTTTTAACTAAAGTATCTTTATTACATAAAAGAAAACTTGCAAGTTTTGGAAATGGTGACCTTTTAAATATTTTCAGTGGCCATTTGAGTTATCAATCAAAATGGTTGTTTCAAGTAAAGGACAAATGTGGCAACAATTTAATAAGTTGTATGGTGATTGGCTGCTGATATTTCCTGAGTACAAGATGTAAAAACGTATTTGTCCCATTTTCTCTGATGAACCAAACTACCTAATTTCACCCTAATCCTGAAGGTCGGGGGTGTAGAAGAGAAGGTTCTCATTGTGTACATTGGTGTTTGTATTTATAATCAACATTATAACATTATTTTTCAAGCATTGAGCAATTGGTGTTTGTATTTATAATCAACATTCTTATTTTTCAAGCATTGAGCATTGTGTTAATTAATTCTTAGATAACATAATAGCTTTCTCCGTGACCTGAATGTATGCTAATGATGCTAATACATAAGCACTTCGGACTAGTGCTAAATTGGATACCAGTTAGTTTGTTGTCCTAGAATCACCTAGGAACCGAAGATAACAACAAAAACGGTTGCTTAACTAACATATGTCTCTTCAGTATCGCTGCTTATGAATGTTATTGTGTCAGAGCCAGAGACAATTCTATTTGATGCAAGATACAAGCCTGAGTGGTTATGGGCAGGAGAGCAAAAAACCTGCAGAACTAAATGACCTAGGGACGAATACAGAAATGTACTATTATACTGTTTAGCACAGCTCTAATATGTCGAAACATTTTTTGTCATATCAAGGCAGGCGTCTTTCATCGTGCTCAAATGATTTTATTCTAAAGATGGGCATACAGAATGCATGAGATCAAATGATGTGCAATTAGCGTATGGCTAGTACTGTATATTCCAATTTAAATAACCATCAAAAATATTATTGTGTACTTTTATTTTGTAAGGAAACTGGTTCACTTGTTTTTATGGTTGCTTGTAAAACTATCAAATATGGCACAATTGCAGCATGCTGTTTTGTCAATGAGACAGGAATATTCAGTTCAGAATACATGCACATACATGTTCTCACAGTACCATATACTTCATACATATACTGTATACTATCATGCACCCTAGTGTGAAACATCATGCACTACAAGCAGCAGAGTATACCCTTTGAGTTCACGGGGCCTATTGTGTATTATTTATGTGTAGTAAATCATGCAAGCTGAGATACACTTGAGAGAATTGCCTTGGTAGTGCCACACGCCATCACACGTATATCGAAATAAGAAGACGTCCTTAACCTCTAGAGTCCTGAGCTTTGGAAACCCAAGCTGTGCGGTCCTCATATGAGGACGCAGGGACTCTAGAGGTTATGGTGGGAGAGTAGTGACTGTGTTGCTGGGCAAATTACATTTTTTGTTCTGTTGAAACTGGCTTCAAATGACAAAAACAACAGATAGGCTGTTGGAGCCTCTTCTAGAATTGAACAAACAGAAAACAGAGACAGGAACCAACACATTTACCTATATTTCTAATAAAATTACTGACAATAATTTCTAGAAATGCTGTATTAGATAAAGCTCAACTGTATGTTATGCTATAAAAGTGCCCAGCCACACATGAACTTGCACTGTAAATACTGTTGCAGCTGTTAAACAATTATCACAGTTAAACATAAGCGTAACTTTCTTACATTACATTACAAAGGCTTTGTTTTCTGTCCCATTCTAAACTGCCACATAGATCACAGTGTGAGTTTCTTGTTTATTGTCATTTATTGTCAGTTTCCCTTAAGCTGAACTTTCACTTCCATGAAGGTGTGAACATGTCCAGCATTGCAATTTTCACTGACTGTACAACAAACAGACAAAAAATTATATGATCACATATTGTATATTCCTGTAATATATATATACTTAAAGATAGCAGGAGAGTCTAGAGTGACGTGGCTCCACCTACCAGTTTAATTCAACCACTATTTCTGTAAAGCTGTCAGAAATGTTTGTCTAACTGAGGCTTTAATCTGCAAGCGAGACTGTCAGAGCTCTGCAGTGACCAGAGGGCCTTTAGCAGTGTGTGGTGAGTTCTAAATAAATCACCACTGGTCCCCAGTAATGCCAGTAAATGAAATTAGGAGCACAGTGGCCTTGTTTTTGTGGTTGATATGACAAGGAAACCTGAGGCGTGTCATTTAGTCCTCATAATTTTCCTACCCTCCTGGCTGTTTTGAAATATAACTCTAGTACACATCAGTTGGTTTGCACCTTTGACAGAGCAGAATGCTGTTTTATCACGCTGCTGTGTCAAAGTGTCCACCAGGGATGGTGTTGAGGTCTAAGGCCTGGTTAACACAGTCAGGTGCTGCAATTAAAGTTTCATGCAAATGTAATGCAACACTAGTCAAGCTTATTCCAGATTAGCCCAGGTTTAAAGCTCTGCTAATGCTGCTGGAGCATACCTTTGCATGCAGTTGTGTGGGTGTGTGTGAGTGCATGTCTGTTTGAGGCTAAATACACATTTCAGAATGATGACCATAAAGCCAAATACTGAAAACAATCAGCCCGGTGCAAATATGTGGCTTTTATTGATTAAGATGTCTCTGTTTGCATCACCGGGGGATTTCAGGAGACATGCAGAGCTGTGATATCACAAGTCTAAAACTAATGGACATTCACAATTAATGGGATGGTCAATATCAGAAAAGTACCAAACATGATTTGTCATGTCATGATTTCTCAGTATCTGCCAAAATATAATTAACCACAGTATGGATAACAGTCTTGGCACACCAGTATGTTCTTATCCATCAGTAACCTTGTGAATGTGTGAGGAAACAATTTGAGAAAATGTGTAATCTAAGTTGTTGGCCTACATTTTGTCCATTTCTAACAATATGACCTCACTCAGACCAGCATAGTCTAGGTTGGACAGGATGTACAATATGTTCTGACCATTTGGGCCTGCAGAAATACTGTTCAGACCTACTGTACAGTACATGTATGCATCCATGCTTTTGTACATAAAAAAACAAAAGCATGATTTCAGTTGTTCATATTCATACCTGCAGAAATTCTGCCACAGTGACTCAGAAGTGTTTCATACCACAGCTGAACAGGTCGATGTTTTTCCTGGGACTTTGACAGAAATAGCTCGTGATGCACAAAATGATCCGACAAGATACAACTATAACAAAACTTAGAACTGCATGGCGGCTGTGCATTATCTGTGGTGTCAGTATAGCCCTCAAAAATAATCAGCACAGAACAGAAAAACCCTGACAAGTGTTTAAATATTTGAGCAGATCTTGTTTTATCTTATCCAAGTAGTTTTAGGACATCAGAAGTGTGCGCTTCTCCTGAAGGATGCAATACTGTCCCAGAGCATCTGAGCATCTATGCCTGTGGCTTTGTTACTGCAAATACCATTTTAATCAAGTTCTGGTCAAGAGCTACAGTACACCAAGTGATTTGGCATCTGATTTTACACCTGATTTTACACAGTGGCACATAGCAAAATTGATCAAAAATAGATATAAGATTGAGTTTTATGTCAAGCTGGTAGATAACAAAGCAATAACATTTCTTTCTGATCAAATCTGTTATGAAAAGTTGGTCATCTGTATGGTTTGACCTCTGGGTGAATATTTGAATCATTCACCCAAATCAAGAGCTGTGTCCATTGGTTTGAGAGGGAAAATTATGTGTTGGACTCTGAGGGGGTTGATCCTTCATGCACATTTGGATGTTATGGTCAGAACAAGGGTCAAAGTGAGGCTGTCTTCCTCCTCCATCCTCTCAGTCTCTCTTTAATCTGCTCCATCACAGCTTTGTGGATTTGTTTTTGTCCGTGTGAAGTACACAGCAAACCAGGGAGACAGAGAGATGTAAAAAAAAAGGGCTTCACTGTTGTGTAACATCCTGGATGCTGGGAAACCCTGCAAGCTAAATGAGTCACTTTGCAAAATAAATGTTGACAGTGGATTGCAATGTTTGGACATTGTTTGCACAGTCAGAACCAATGATTATTATAGTTGTGCATGCCTGCTATTGGATGTACTATAGCTCTAATTGTTATTTAAAAGTTATACAGCTTGGAGTGAAAGTTCCAGAAGGCTCAGCCCTTCAATCCCAGCTCCCCCCTCAGTCAAAGGCACTAGCAGACCAAGCCTCACTTTCTCTCATGTTCATGGCCACCACCATTCAAATTTGGCACACAAACAAGGTAACAAAGTCACCGTCCTACGTAGGTGAGGAACCTCTGAAAATCGCATAGCCTTGTACTGCCAGAGGCCAATGGCCACAAAGTGAATTACATGATAGCAGCACTGAAGCCACTGGAAAAGACTCTGAAATGCTGGCACTTTGTCAACCTGAGGGGAGAGTAAGCCACTTGGTTTGTACTTCATCCCCAACCCAACATTTTCCATACACCTGCTGGAGCAAAGCACAGTAACAATCCATAGTTTAAAATGGTGTATTTCTAAGAGTTGAAATACAGTGGGGGAAAGTTTTTGTGTTTTCAATGGAACTCAAGCACGAGAGGCGATTTCCTGTAATTTCCTATATTCTGTCTTGTACTGGGATCATGTCTTTAACAGAAAAAAATAAGATGATGTCTGTTTTGTTATTCATTAAGGGAATAATCTTCTGGATGATTTTGTATCCTCTGTGGGCCCATGATCTAAGGTATGTCTGTTGTTGCTTGCTACAGCATTGACAGTTAGAGACTATATTTGTTAAATGTAATTCAATCCAGTCAAAACTGTATGAGTAAAAACAACTGGGAGGAAATTGAATGAGTCACTATTTTCTGCTCACATGCCACAGCAATGTTAATCCATTCCAAATGTAATTTTCGCTCTTCTGTGCTCTTACCAGCTCACATATGACTGAGCATTCAATGTGCCAAACCTGGAGAGGGAAGCGAGAGGGAGAGCACCCCTTCCCCCAGAAAATGGTTGCAATTATTATTGGCTAACATGGTTTATTTTATATTATTATACTTCCTTTCTCCTGCTTTAACTTGCCGCTTTCAAGACATAAAAGCTGCATCGCATTAATTCACATTAGTTCAGTAAAAACAAAACTGTTCTCTGCTCACTCTTATCTTCTTGTCTTTCGCTACCTAACTGTGAAACCCCTGTGCTGCATTAGCACTAGATGTGGCAACTGAATCACTGTGTCAAATAAATACACTTTGCACGTGCTTTGACGACCTGCAGCAGGGTGCTGGAGCCAGCCAGCACTCTGTCACACATCCCCTGGTACAGGATCCAATAGTGGAATACTTTCAGGGAGGTCTGTACTGGTGGGCCCTATAAAGGCCAATTATCAGAGCCTGCTTGGTCGTTGTGCTAGCAGCGTTCCCTTGCACTAGCACCTCTATGAGCCTTTGACGTGTTTCCTGATAGGTCAGGGCTACCAGTTATCTCTTGTTAGAGGAACGAGCCTGGTGTCTCATCCCACCTGTCTGAGCTGATGAAGAGAGATGGAGATAGATTACAATGTTGTTTCTATCACAATTTGTTGCTCAGTTTTAACATGCAGCACTAATAGTGTGGTTCACCTGGTTGTCTTGGGTTACTGGCACTGCTACCAAAGGAAGACTGGAAGTTATGGATGGTCTCTTGAAGGATCTGTCTTTCTCGGCCCTGATGACAGCAAACAAAGGTAGGTATAGAACAGCAACATTTTTGACAATGATATTTATCCGCTGCCTTCATTGTTTTAAGTCATTCTACCTATTTCGACTGGCTCACAACAGTTCAGTGTGGGTTATACAGTGGAAAGTTAAGCCCAGAGAGCACTGGCAACAGTCCACAAAGTAAAGATGTAATGGGTAACCATGTACTGCACCTTTCCAGCATTGAGTTCTGATATGGCAGCCAGGATCTGTTGCCTGGGTCCATCTGTTTTAATGCCCA